GGTCCTATGCGACCAGGCCTAACAAGTACCACGTGACATTCTGGGATAAAAATATATTTTTTATCGAATGAAAATATTTTTACCCTATGAAAATATTCCATTGAATGGCAATATATTTTATCGAATGAAAACATTATATCAAATGAAAATTATTTTTATTGAATAAAAACATTTTTTTTTGTGTCAAATGAAAATATATTTTATCGAATGGAAATATATATTTTATCGAATGAAAATATATTTTTATCGCATAAGAATATTTTTATCGAATGAAAATATATTTTTATCGAATGAAAATAATTTTTATCGAATGCAAATATATTTTTATCGAATGCAAATATATTTTTATCGAATGAAAATATATTTTTATCGAATGAAAATAATTTTTATCGAATTTTGCTACATTTCGGCAACCATACTATTACTAGTTGTAAAATTTCTTGCTTGCCTGCCTCTCCTAGGATTTTCGAACATCTAAAAAATGGTATAATTGCCCATTTTTAACGGATTTTTACCCTTAAAAGGTCACCTAGAATTTTCGGGAACCTTTTTTCTGGCAGAAATTTTCGAAAAGGTAAGTTTTGATCCCTATAATTTTCGCATCACTAGACTTTCAGCTAGGAAATCCGAACAGAAGAAAAATTTCTAGGGGATAAAAATATGCCTATATCTACCGTTTAAATACTGAAATGCGTTTAACAATGCTATGTTTAAGTGGTTTTGAATTATCTTCTCGTTGGGTGCCCCTGAGTGTCTGGCAAGGTTTCCAATCAAAGATTTGTGAACTCGTGTTTGGCAAACTCTCCAAGTGTTTATGTATACACAGTTATACACACCCAAGAGAGGATAAAGGGGACAGAGAAAGGCATCCCCCATACATACCCTATTCCATAGGTAATTCGTCTCGAGTTATTTTTAGAATCGGAATAGAGTTACCTCGCGTGCTGCGTGGATGTTTCGTAAAGGTTTCGCATGACTAAACACCGTGCAAAACATGTCGAGAGAAAGGCAATAAAAGCGTAAAGAGATCGAGAGCATTCCTGAATATTGAAGCGAAATGAGTCGGCCCTCACCTGGGAAAAGGGAATCGCTGGACTCTTTGACAACCCATGAAATCAGTTTAACTCGAAGTTGTCGTAACCTCAGTGCTTTAATAAAATGAGAAATTTCGCCGGTCTATTGAAACCGGTCGTTTGTACAATAAAGCAAGTAGGACGCCAAGTGTAATTTTTGATGAATAATAAAAGACTAATAAAAGAATAAATATCAAACCAGAAATTACTCTCTTCAAACAGTAAATTATAAATGATCCTGAGAGAATATTCAGGGTGTTAATGATTTCCCTGCTGTACTGTTAGCTCTATACAAGAGAGGAAGGGCGATTCTTTTTTAATTTCCGTTTCGCTGACACAGCTTTAGCAGAAATCTCTCTGTAGTCGTTTTCGTCGACAAGACGAATAACAATATCGCTCTCCGCGTCTTCCGCCATTTTGTTCTGCGTCAATTCGTGAAGGGCGCGTGGCTACGGAACACATTCGCGCTATGTGATTGGCTGTTGTCTAATCCCCCTTGAGATTTGAGGTGTTAAAAATAACTCGAGACGAATTACCTATAGAATAGGGTGTGTATGGGGGATGCCTTCTCTGTCCCCTTTATCCTCTCTTGACGCACCTTATAACTTGATCTGCGCTTAACGAGTGTCTTTTGGTCCATAACTTTCAAAGCAACTGCTCCACAGAATGTCACTGTTAACACGTAACGCCACAGGTAGCCCAAGTTCGAAATATGAGCATCGGCGAGCATCGGCATTGTTGCGTAACATTCAAAATATAAGGATTTGTATGGGGAAAAAAACCTGTCGTTTCTGTAACCTACGAAATGAAAGGATTTCAATAAAAAACAGCTTACGTTACTTAAAATGTGTTTTACGTCGCTCCTGTGTGGTCCACGGGCAGATTTATGGCCCTTTTATGGGTTTTTATGTCAACGGTTTTCTCTCTATATAAAGGTTTAGCTTCATTTTTCCCTTTCCCCGCCGCGTGTCGCCTTTTCTCGCCTGGGGTGATTTTCACGCGCGCTCGCGTTTCGCACGCTCTACTATCTCTGAGGAAAAATGGGGGACTACTCGTAGTCTACTCGAGCCAGGAGTCGAGCCAGGACCCTAGTTTAGACTTTTTTAATCTTTCTGTAAGCAGAAAAATGAATAAGTAAAAATAATTGATAAACAAAAGTAAAATAAGCAAAAAGGACTCCTAACCTAACTCGTAACCTCCTAACCCTAACCCTCACTGTAACGCTGACCTAACCCTAACCCTAATCCTAACCTCTAACCCTAACCCTCCTCTTAATGGTCATGTGACTTGCAGGAGGTAAAAATGGCGGGAAAGCGAAAAATTGTCGAGTCGTGCGTCGAGTTTTGGCTTGAGTCCTGGCTCAAAGTCCTGGCCCGGTGTATAGGCATCTCGTCGATTTTGAGATTTCAGTTATTTATTCCGAATAACGGAACCCAACATGAAAACCTCGATCCTACTTTTGGCATGCACTACACTAGCTGCTACAACTAACAACTACGAAAGTATCCTTGAAAATATAGGGGCTGGACAGAGATTACGGGTCCGATCTCATTTACTTCAAATTTAGATTAAAAAAATTTCAGTTTATATTCAGTTAACAATTAATGGAACTGGCAATCAGGTTCATAGTTATGATACCAGGAATACCAGTTACTCTCGTGTGTTCCTAAGTTCAGAACTACAACATAAGACGCTTTGCATTTCAATACCAATGCCCCTTGTTTTTTAATTCACTAGTCCAGACATTCTAAGTTCAGTTAGTGTATCAACTTTTAAGAAATTGAAAAAACTGAAGAAACACCTTCTTACTTAACTTGTTCCTTTCCCTCCATCCCCCTTTGTCAGCTTTGTGTTTTGTCTTTATTTTTTTTTTAATTATTTAATAATTTTTTCTTTCTCTCGAGCTCTCTTTTTCTGATACCTTATTTCTTCCTTAGTATTATTGTTACTCTGCCTTCGCTGTTATTATTTTGTAATTTAATAGGGAAAGCCCATGTTGTTTAAGCCTCATCAAAGGTTCGTTCCTAGTGTGCTTAAATTGCCATATTCTAACGGATTTCTGTAATTTATTACTATGTCATAATAAGGTCGTGAAATAAAAAAAACATCAGTCAAACGGTAAACACCTCTTGATTAACGTTATCTAATCATGGCCCAGTTACCCTGGGTACCGGAGGCTTTTCATGCCCGGTTTCCGGTTTCGGTCCGACAAAAAGGTTTAAAGTCAATAAAAGAAAGTTAATTATTTCCTGTTTGTTTTGGAAAATCAATAGACTGGCCATATAATTACTAAGGTGGAAAAAGACAGGCAGTGCTTTATTTATTTTCTCCCAGTCAGGCTCCGTTCTGATAAGAAGTACTAGTATAATTACTTAGTTGATGATAGAGATTCTAATTGGTCGAGGGTTGCGTCATATGTCGCCATATTTCCTCCGGCTAATTTTTCATTACCAGCTACCGTCGACCGAATTTGGAAGTCGCTTTGTGCTATCCGATAAAATGACGTCACTCAATAATTCAAGATAAAGGCCGGAAAAAAGGGACGCCAACCGTGAAGGCTTGGGATAAGGTTGGATTGTTTGGTGGAGCTGCAGAAATTGGTGGAAAACTTCCTGATTACTCGATCGGCTCCTGCGAAAATACAATTCGACGGATGAAAACTACTATAATCCCTGAAGTTGCCGAGGAGCAGGCAATTGAGAATTGGAAGTAAACATTGATCAAGGTAGGAATGTTTTAGCTTACTTTTAAACTATGAATTTATTTGAATGTATTATTCTCAAAAACTGTACAATGGCTATTTTGACTTTTTCAAAAGAGAAGGGTTATGACCGAGCTCATTAACCGGCTGAACAGGCCTTCATCTCTTCCTGTTTCTTTCTTCTAATCACCTGAAGTTTTATTAGTGACGCCGGTAAAATGTTTTTAATAAAACAGTTATTCTACCCTAGATTGTTTGATATGAGTTGCATGTTGGCTATTTATATTCATATCCAACGTGCTCTCGTGAAATAATTGTTAAGTAAATTGAAGTGGACCGGCGCGTCTCTTCTGGCGGTTTTCTAAATAAAAGTGCGCATGCTGAGTGATATTGATTGTGTGGGTGAGCGAGGAGGGAAAGACAATTGCCGTTTACCTTAACGGTGCAGGATTGTACGAGTAAGGAAAAACGGTAGAACTCGACAGATTGTTCTCACAAATATATAATAAAAGTATAGTTCGGAGATGATTTTTGTGAATTTACCCGGCAACAGTTAAATTATTAGATACCGACAGCAAATTTTTCTCGAGAGAGACCTGTTCTAAAATAAAGTACACAGTGTCTTCATCTTTGTTGTTCGGCTTTGGACAAAACAAGTGTCAGAACTCTTTGCCGTCATTCCAATATCAAGCAACCACAAGCTGTTCCGTTGCATGCGATATTGGCCTTCTTTTCCGATCGCGTCATTCACGCTTTTGCCATCAAGGCTGAGAGTAATGGGACGTGCCTAATTGATGATTTTTATTCACATAAAAACTAAACTTTGTATCAGTCTAATTCTAATTGATCGTAATTAGAGTTCGTCTTTTTTTTGTTTTTTTTTTCCTTTTTCGCGTTTCTGTAAGGATTTGCCTTTCTAACATTTTTCGTACACAATATTTCCGAAGTTACCTTGACTCTTATAAAGGCCCTTTAAAGATGACCCGTGCACTGCAACACGCATTAACGTTAAGAGTTCTCATAAATTTTTGCCGATTACTCTTTTCCGTAAGGCCTTGAATAATAGCCACTATTAATTATAGCCAATCAAACAATTCGAATTATATTCAAAAACATCCAAGGGGATAACAGCTATTTACATTCATATTTTACTAACTGGCAAGGAACAGGTGTTTCTGTTGTGTGTTAGATGGACGTTTGCCATAATTTAGGTGCTGTTGACTGATGAAGCCGGCATATAGATATAGCATACAACAGGTAACAAAACGGTAACTTTTTTATTCCAATTTTTCACAAGAAAAAGCATAAAGCTTTGAGTTTCCAATATAGGAGATATATGGATTGTCAGTTATGGTACCCACTTGACTTAAAAGGAGTGATAACTCGAAGCTGCGAAGTACAAAATTATATGCCTTGCTAAGCAGAACTTGAAAATACTCGGAGCTAAAAGCTATTTTGTTTGAAAATTAGTTTTATAAAGACTTCATACAGTAAACAAACGAACTGATAACAATCTAAACTCTACGTGTGGGCTATTCTTCAAAATCGGACTTGACGGGGATCTTAACTTTTCTGCGGGTGGACATTTTGAATTTTTGTCCTTGTTGAATAATATTGTGTCGCTTCAAAGGAAGGAAAACTAGAAAAAGGTACTGGTGAATGAAAATGATTAGGCTGCATAATCAGTCATGGTTTTTCAAAGAAAATTTGTAATGCAGTTGCCCTTACAACTATCGACGGAGGCCAAACTTCAAAGTACCTCCGCGCCTATCTTTCCAACAATAATTATTAATATGACAGGGATATGAATCATTTCATTTTGGTATTCACAACTTTCGGCACAGGTATAATAACATATAAATGTAAAGGTCTAAACACCTTTCATAACAGGCAGAGAATCTATGTCACGATATATCTCGACTGGCCAATACCAGACTTGATTAAATTTTTGAAAACATTTTTTCTTATTCTAATAATTAAGTTACACAGAGCAAGGGCAGACTGTGGACGTGATAAAGATGTAAAAGAGACGATAGTTACAGTAAAATTAAAGTAACAAATATATTAGCAATGTAAAGAGTTCAAGTTCATGCACGTGTGCACTAACGCCTAGAGGCTCAAGGGTCTATATCTTTAGGACAGAGTCACTGAGTCACGTTCAGTGTTCATTTCGACGAGAAAACATGATATAAATGGAATTGAATGCTTTTGTCTGGGGAGAGTCAATTCTAAAAGTACTCGGCTGAACAGTATATTCGTAATTAGATTACAGGGACTCTCAGAACGTTATCATTGCATTTAAGTCAGAATTCAAACTTTTTGCGAAACAGTAAATAACAGTTTTAATCGATTTTGGACAGGCTTTTTCTTTTACTAACTGTTCCACCATTGATCTACGTCAGGTAGAAATATTGCTTCCAACTGAGTATTAACTCATGAGACGAACCAAATTCTAATCAGTTAGGGCGACCTAAATTAAGTTAAGATAGTCTGAGTGTTTAGTCAGACGTCGAAAATAGGGTGCCTCGAACCAACCAACCGAATCAGACAATCTCTAGAATCAGACCAAAAAACAACAGGCCCGTAGCAAGCATCAAATGACTTGGGGGCGGGGGGGGGGGGGGGCGGGGGGGGGGGCCCACATAAATTTGGACAAAGACTATGTCTTTTTATTTTAAAATCTCCCCGCGTTTTTGGGGTTTATAAAATTAAAAATAAAATATTTTCTCCACCCCTTTTTTTTTTCTTTTTTATATGAAGCAGTAATGGTGAGTTGGGAGTGAGAAGAGAAGAAGTGTAAACGAACCAAAAAAAAACAAACAAAAAAAAAAAAAAAAAAGAGAAGAGAAAACAAGGGGGGGGCGGGGGGAGGGGGGGGGTGGGGGGGGGGGGGGGGGGGGGGGGGGGCTGAGCGAGTGGCCCACATTAACTTGGTACATGACTATGTCATTTAATGTTAAATACTCTCCGCGTATTCTGGGTATTGAAATATCAACATTAACTCAGTTCTACACCACCTTTATCTGCTTTTATTAATTCGTATAAAATGCCTCTCAGAAAGGCCATTTTATTTCATTCTAGAACTTCTCCAGTTAGTAATACATGTTCTAGTGAGTATACCAGTGGCGGATCCCCCAGCTTTTCTAAGGGTCTGGATGACCCCCCCGCTTCCTCCTTATCTCAATGTCTGGATCTGGCACTGTACACTGTTATTATAATTCTATTTTGCCCAACTAAAGTTTTCAATTTGGTCTATTCTTCAGCAACTTTTACGTTTAATTGTGTAGATATTTGCAGCGGTCTGAAATACTCAGTTTGGAACTTGGGCATTTTTATATCTATATATAAAGCCTTGAGTGTTTTGCCAAGCCCATTCTAGTGCGTAATATTCGTGCACTGACTCGAGCAGTAAATGACTCTATGATCAGACTAAAAACTGTCAATTGTATGTTTCCTCAAGGAAATTAAAAGTTCGCAAACTGTATTATAATTTGCATACGATTTCCCGAAACTTCCTTTGTCATGATGCTGACTAACTTCCTGAATCACTGAATTGAGTTTCCTGCTTGTGGCGTCCGTCAATAACATGCAGTTTCACTATCAAAGAAAAGCAGGTTCACTGTGAAAACAAAAAGCTTACTGTTAACTGGTGTTGAATTGTTGTTTTTTGTGGAAGATCATAAAAGAATAACACGTTTATGGATGCAAATCTCCTCGATTTTGTGTCCTCGCTCTAAGTTTGAATCTATGGTGAAGAAGAAGTCAGTGATAAACATTTTCGCCTAGTAAAAAGGAAGTCTCACAAGCAAATTCAAGATACGAATCTCAATCGCGTAGCGGTGGGTACATAATTAGGACTGTCGATCTCCAGGAAACACGCTTTAATAATTTCTCACAAAAGTTTCCTTCACTAGAAACTTTTCGGGTGGAGAGAAGCTACGACCGGAAATACGTCTGCGTTCGCAGGCTCTTCCAATACACGATACTAATTTGCGTTTTTTCTTTCTTTTTGTAGCTGCGACGAGACTGGTTAAATCTGGGAATCCATGGTAAACTGTGATACTTTCTTGATGCAGTAAGCCTCAGTCCGCGAGGAACCGACAAGCAAAAAACGCTAGTTAGATACATGAATTCTTGATGGGCCTGATGTCTATCTACAAAGAATATGGATTAGCTGAGATCGCCGTCACAATAGTGCAGTCCATACTCGTTATTGTGAACTTGGCTGGGAACTCTCTGGTTTGTTTCATCGTGTTGAGAAATCAGTGCATGAGGTATGTCGTGTGGAAAATGCAGTCAGTACGTTAGTAAGCTGATTTCTGTCGGGAAAATGTGATCGGGGGGGGGGGGGACTCGATATATCCCTGGGGGGGGAGGGGCGGCGCGGGCCCCCATACCCTGACCCTGTTTAAGACAAAAATCGCGGTTTTTCCTCCCCCGTTTAAGACAGAATTCCGATTTTTGATACCCTGTTTAAGACATTTAATTAACATTAGAGCTTGTAAAAATTTTGCTGTTTATCGTCCAAGAAAAGATATCCTCTTTAAGACAAAAATTGATAAATCGATACCCTGATTAAGACAAAAAATGATAAATTCGATACCCTGTTTAAGACAAAAATCCAGAAAAACATACCCTGGCTGGCCGCACGTCCCCATTAAGCCCTTATAAGGGAGTAACCCCCCCCCCCCGGATGTGATCACACTTTGCTTGATTTCTATTGTCAAACCCCAAACATACTCGTCATTCGTTGAATAAATATGTCATTCCGGATTCCGGAATCCCGGATTCTCAGCTGATTCCTGGAAATTGTTGCTTGTGGATTCCGGATCCTGGGCTTTATCACCCGGAGTACAGATCAAGGAAACAGGAATCCCTCTAACAATTAGAGTCCGGAATCCACGTCATGGAATCCAGGGTCCAAGACTGTCTTGTATTCCCATACATGTGACTAGGATCTGTACGCAATAGGAGAGTGAGATACTCGAGGTCTGGAATCTTAGCTGATTAGTTAACGTTAAGCCATTTAATTTTTTCCGGCAAAATGTTGATTTCAATCACTAAGTAAACAGAAATTAGTCAAGTTTTGTCCTTAGTGAACGAAGTCTTTCTTTTTCCTAATAGAGATCTCAAATGATTTCCTTTCATTTTTATGAATTTCTACAGGACATCAATAAATTGCCTCCTTATGAATCTCGCCATAGCAGACATAACTATAGCCACATTTTTACTACCAAGATATGTTTTGGTGCACACTTTCACTCATCCTGATGGAGTTGCTGGAAAAGTGCTCTGCAGACTGCTGACTGGAGGAAATGTTGCCTGGATTGGAGGTGGTACTTCCGTTTTTACACTTGTTGCCGTAGCAACTGAACGCTACTTTGCTGCACTACATCCCTTTGGAAAAAAGGGAAATTTTGGTGCTCGTAGAGTAAAGGTATGCTTATCACTTTTGTTTCGATTTGCGTGTACACCATTTAAAGCGAATTAACTCTTTCTTCCGCAGGTAGCGTAAGTGGTTTATTGAATTTGACTACAACTTACCTTTTGCGTCATCATAGCACAAGGTAACCAAGAGAAGGCTAACACTATTTACACAACGATAAAAAGTTAGTTTTCATAATATTTAGAAGTTTCTCTTGGTATCGTGACTAGCAGATATACTCTGAGAGAGAAGTGGAATGAAGACTGAAGTAATTTCACTGCATAATAATTCATGATTAAGCGAGGCACGAGCCCAGTTCCCGGCCGATAGAAAGCCCCTGGTAAAAATTGTGCGATGCAGGAAAAAAGTAGTGTAGAAAATCGAGAAAAAGTACATGAAATGCGAAATTGGAGAGTTAGTATTACCGGGTATCACTTATAAATATAAACATGCATTGCAAAGCAAAGGAACGCGTGAGCACACCTTGAGGAAGCAGAAGTGCCAATTAACATTGTGAACTTTTGGTTGTGTTTGACTGATTTGCTAGTGGGTCTGGTACAGCATGTCATAAAACATTATAATTTTGTATATATATTTCAGATGACCATTGCTTGCTCTTGGATCTTTGGGATCGTCATCACTTTTCCAATGTTCCTAGCAAGGAACTTTGACGAAGAACTTGATTGGTGCGTTTATACTTGGTCTGAAGAATGGATGGGTAAAGCCTATAGCATGGTTTGGTTTCTGTTTACAGGATTTTTCCCGGTTACTTTCATGATCGCTCTATACTCCCAAGTCGTGTACACTTTGTGGTTTACACGTTCAAAGCCAAGAGGACGTCATCATTGTGTGCAACAGGTTCGAAACTAAATTAAAAACAACATGCCTTATACCAATTTATTCCTGCAAGAAAAATTTCTTTTTTTGGCGATGCAGAAATTTCTGCCCGTCCTCAATCCACACTGTAGCTAGCCTGCGAGCAAGCTCTCCTATTTGGGCGAGTGAAGCGGCCCCTCGCTCGCGCGTTCTCGCGAGGCTCACTTTGCTTACCCAAACAGGAGAGCTTGCTCGCAGGCTACACTGTTGCAGTTTTCATTGATCGCCCAGTCGAATAGTGCCAATTAACGCATTTTTAAAGTGAAATTTTTCGTTTCATTTAACGTCCTCCTTTGTAATAGCGCTATTGTTAAGCGCAAGCCGCGACAAAACCATTCATGGTTCTTTATTTTATCATTGTTATTTATCTTGTTATAAATAGTTTCCGATTTCACAGTGTAAGTTCTGTCTTGATAAGCAATGAAGAAATGCATGCATAAAATCGAGAAATCATGCCTCTAAAAACCTCTACACATATTTCGCATCCTTTATAGATGGGCCAATCTGTCAATCTGCTTGTTAATGTGTTTAGTAAAGTCGTCCATGTTTAGTTATATTAGAATCGGAACCCACCTACGTGTCAAAAGCTCGGGGTGGGCTAATGCCCGACCCCCGGGCCACGCAAAATTTGCTAATGCCCCACCGCCGGGACTGACATGGTAGGCAAATGTTCCGCAGCGGCCTGGGGGAGGGGGCTGGGCGCAGCTGGATTTGTCTGATGCATAAACACAAAAAATAGAACTTGGCCAATATCCAACCATTTTGACCTCACGCTTGGTCAATAACGCATGTGTGCAGGTTTACGTCACCACCGTCATTTAGTATAAGTGATTTACCGTAAAATTCCGAAAATAAGCCCCTCCATGTATAAGCCCCTTCAAATATAAGCACCCCAAACCGGCAACGCAAAAAACCCTCCGTTAAACCGCCCCTCCAAATATAAGCCCTCCGGGGGCTTGTACTTGGAAAATTGCCCCCAAATACAAAGTAAAACAAACCAAAAACGGTAAATTTCCTTCCAACTATAAGGCTAGCCCAATCGAGTTTGAAACACAAATTTCCCTCCGTAGATAAGCCCGTCCGAATATAAGCCCCTCCAAAAATAAGCCCCGCAAAAAGGGCCTTTGAAAACTATAAGCCCCGGGGCTTATTTTCGGAATTTTACGGTATCTACATTCCTAGCTGCTGGTCCCGTATACTCACCCGCACCAGGGTTTATTCTGTTCCACAAACAACAAGTTGAAATTTTAATTTTGTTTTCAGGGTGTACTGAAAGTACGCAAGCGGGTCACCTTGATGGTCATAACAGTCAGTATCGTTTTTGGAGTAACCTGGCTTGCAGACACGTTTAACTTCGTCCTCTACTATTACAAGCCTTCCTTCAATCAGTTGACATACGCAGCAACTTCCATTCTGATCCTGTTCAATTCTGCTATTAATCCTATTTTGTATGCTTTGATAAATCAGCGATTCAAAGAGAAAATGAAAGGAATATTAAGTGGCAAGTGTCGTGCAGAACCAGACGGGATGTTTTCTGTTAAAAAACATGAGAAAGTGGAAATAGCCGTTATCTCCTTTCACCAAAGCCAATTAACGGACGAACGTAGCTGAGGGAGTGATTTTTGATAAGTTAATTTATTTATAGAGTTTACCTTAATTAATATGTATTTAAAACTGGTTGGTTAATTAGAGGCCACCTTTGAGAGGGAGAAAGGGGCTTGAGTCAGTGTTAGCGGGAAGTGCCGTGTTTGCTGGCAGGCTAGGCTGTGAGGGTCAATAATCAAAAAGTCATCAAGAATATGGCATACAAAATAAGATCGGACTTTTGTTTACGGTTATCAACTCTGCAACATACCATACACGTGTATAAAATTGAACCGGAGAACTTTTGAACCATTGCAAAGCGGAAAGCTAAGTAGGAATAATACTTGCAATATTGAACTAAAAAAACTGTTCATGATCTAAAAAGTCAATTAGATATCGGTTTGGACAATAGTCCTGTAAGGGAGGATAATCCTGGGAAAGAGTTGTCCGATAACAATCTACAAGGATTACAAGCTTTGGCGTCCTTTCATATTGAGTGATTGACACTTTAAGTAATATGTCCTGCTTTGGGTAAGATTAGAGACCCTTAGATTCTAGGACGAGAACGACTACGAGTACGAGATTTAATTCAGGGACCGCGGAGCAAGGTGAAAAGTGGGAGGGCTGACAATTGAAAATAATTTTTTCATATTGAAAGTCGAAAAATTTTTTAACTATGGGCTATTGCATTTAATATCCGCACCTCCCCGGTTGAGGAACCATGGAATTCTCCAGGGGTAAGTTATAAAAATTGAGGATTTCTTTAGGGGTAGATATAGAGTAAACAAATAAGGAATTCTTTGGGGGTGAAGCCTTAATTTTCACAAAATTCTTTAGGGGTAAACCCAAATTCTTCAGGGGTATGACCCAATTCTTCGGGGGTAAACCCATATTTTACGGAAGTCTTCAGGGGTGAATGCAATTTTAGCCAATCTTAAGGGGTAAGATGAAAAGGTAAGTCCTCAACCGGGGGGGTACGGACTTTAAATGCAATAGGCCTATGGCCGTTCACTGTTCAAGTAATGTAATTCTTCCTGCCATCGAATATTTCATTGATTCGAAAGGAGAAAGACAAAACATAAAACTTGGCGTTTGAAATTAAAGAAAATACAGAGAATATAGCGGAATATAGACGGAAAAAAACTTGTTTCAAGTCTTTTTTTTAAATTTTAATTATTTTTCTTTTTAGCGCAAAAAGTGGGGGCGGGGGCGCAAAAAAGTGGTGGGGCCGCGGCCCTACCAGCCCCTCCCCCTCCGCGGTCCCTGTAATTTAAGCTTTTTCGCGTTTGCTCAAATAATAGACACCCCGGAAAGCTTTATTGTACATCTTTTTCACTAAAAAAGTTAGCACTGTTATCTTGATTGAAGGAGGTAAAGCTATCTCCCAGCCGCAAAATATTAACACCTATAACACTTTATAACTTGTGTCCGCTAACGCGACATTCTCGCTAAAACTCGTAGTAAAATGACAACGACTATTATGTTTCCCGCCAAAATGACGCTGGTTCACGCGCTCGCACTACTTAGTATTGAGAAAATCTCGTACTCGTACTCGCACTCGACTTAGAATCTAAAGGTCCCTATTAATGTTGTTACTGCGAAGAAAGAAACTGATATTGAGAGTACTGCTTCCTGACAGGAACAATTAAAACGTTAAAATAGCCATCCTCGCCCTTCCAGTTCAACCAAGTCAATAATAAGAATGTTGCACCAGATATCTGATAATTGAAGCGTCTATGGGTGAATTATTGAATGTATGTTGTTTATGTTGTCATGGTACTGTTTTGCACCCATGTATACTGTGTCCATACTGTGTCTAAAATTAAAAAACTAAAACCCTTCAATTCGGTTATACCAGTCGTAACATAAAGATAGAACCTGGCGCAACGTTAAAGTGCCTACAAATGACGTTATTGGTGTTAATGCATTCCACAAAAAGTTAATTCAATCAAAAAACAGGTTAGTTCAGTTCCTACTATACTACTACTGATATGTTTAGGCTTAGACTTATAAGATAGAGTGTTTTCACATATTGTCACGGCGGCCATATTGGTGCTCCAAAACAATGAACCGGTGGCAGTGTTGGTATCCCAAACCGTTCCTTTGGGGTTGAACTCATTTCTTATGCAAACACTTTCTTTTGTTCTAATAAATTTGCATAGATGATGGCCACGTGAGTGAAAACGCTCCATAAATTTAAAAAATGGTAAACGTGCAGCGTGCAGCAATCGAGTTATGGATACAAAAAGAAGTTATCATCACCCTAAAAAGGACATTTTTTGCTACCCGCCAGAGAAAAAAATCATTCATGCAACAAACAGCATTTTGGCACGAGGTAAAAGTAGCATGTTGCCCACCTGCCCCTTTTTTACACTGTAATTTAGTTTAGTGACTGAAAGCTACGCGCATTCCAAAAAAAAACAGCCAGTTAAAAAGTAATATACAGTCCCGCCGATGTAAGAATTTCATTCCCAAACAAGCGTCAGGTCTGAATCCACCACTGCTGTGTGTATGATATGTCAGTACATGTGCTCCATGGAATAAAAGGTGCTATGTATTTCTTTTACGATGTGTTGCACTAGTTGTCGTCGATTAGTGCCAAACGATCCTGCTAGCACAACCTTTCTGACTTGCACGATTTTGGTGTCTTCGAGAAAAAAAACGCTGCATGACTTGAGTAAGGTCTTAATTGAGAATGTTTTTTCTTCTTCTGGGATACGCTTTTTGAACCCAGGCCCAAAGGTCCTACGCTTGGTAAAGAGGACTCAGTTGTGACCAGGAATTTATCAAAAAGNCAAACAAGCGTCAGGTCTGAATCCACCACTGCTGTGTGTATGATATGTCAGTACATGTGCTCCATGGAATAAAAGGTGCTATGTATTTCTTTTACGATGTGTTGCACTAGTTGTCGTCGATTAGTGCCAAACGATCCTGCTAGCACAACCTTTCTGACTTGCACGATTTTGGTGTCTTCGAGAAAAAAAACGCTGCATGACTTGAGTAAGGTCTTAATTGAGAATGTTTTTTCTTCTTCTGGGATACGCTTTTTGAACCCAGGCCCAAAGGTCCTACGCTTGGTAAAGAGGACTCAGTTGTGACCAGGAATTTATCAAAAAGTGGACACGATTGACTAGTGCGGACGTTTGGGCATCGGCGACTTCGAAGGCTAGGCAGAGCCAGCCTCGTTCTCAGTCGTCGTTGGCGATTTCAGATGTGACGTCACCTGTCAAGCTTGTCGAAAAAATTTGCGCTATCGCACTCGGTTCCAAGCCTCCTCTGGTTACTCGGATAACACGAACTGACCTGGGTACGAGGCTGAGGAAGAGCGTCTTTTCTTCCTCAGTGAACAAGACAAAAGTAGGCTCTGCTCTCAGGGTCAAGGATGCTAAGGTTTTTCACGACTTTAGCTCTTACCCAGAGGGTTTTTTCTACACGATATACTACATTAACGCTAAAAACTACAACATAAAGCAACTATTGATCATTCTGCTGAAAGATACCAAATCCTATGGAGGCAGAAAGGAGCGGTACTCTACAGTTGGGTAGCCTTTGTACTTCGCCTTAAAATTCTACTTGAGGTATTTCTACTAAGATTTCCTACTCAGTTTAGGCTAATTTTTCAGTCAGCTTTGTTGGTGTTGTTTAGTAAAATCCAACTGATGATCTATTATCAATGCTGCGTTCTGATTGGTTGAGCTACTATTACGCTATAAGTTATAGCCCACTAATAGCTAAAAGCGCCGGCGTTTTGGCGGCAAAAAAGGATTAAAGTCTAGTTTTAAACAGCTAAGGTTGTTTTGTCTCGATATTATTGACCAACTAGTTGGTTTTTACTAAAACAATTATTCCTCTCGCCTTCATGGCCTCTGAGTCAATAGCCTATTCGACCCTCGGCTTCATGAGCTATTGGTAGTCTTTACACTAGAGCCTGAATAAGCTAAGAAATATTTCAAGACAAGCAAATTTTAATTACTTCAGGTAAAATAAGGCTTCACACACAACCGATTATTTTTTACTTCAGGTTAACTTAGGCTATTTTCCCACGCAACATAATTAAGATCGCCTTTCTCAAAGCTCAGAAACCGCGAGTCGGTTAAGTCGGTTTTAAGGATAGTCTTGAATCGTTTCAACTTTCTGACTTTAATGAGATGCAAAGTAAAGTTACTTGAGATTTTACTTAGGCCTTCACACAAGAGTTTTTGGTTAAGTAAAACTTAGCAGCTCTTAAGTCTTACTTAACAGCCTAGTGTAAAGACAACCATTGACTCAGAGCCCATTCGGGCTCGAGGAATAATTGGTTGTCTTTTCAATCTGCATAATACTTTAGATCATTCTCAGCCTCGTCTAATAATTGCTAAATGTCTTTAAGAACAGGTGCCGTTCAGTAGTCATAACTTAGCGGGTAATTGCTATATACAAGGATAAATAAGCTTTTCCACTCCTAATAAGAAAACGATGGAAGCACGTAGCAAACTAAAGGTAATTAAGCTAACTTTTAATTCAGTATTAACGAATAAATAAACAGGCTTGTGTAGGCAATTGGTTTTTAGAAACGAAAGCAAAAGTTGCATTGAAATTCTACCGCTGTTCATGACATAACGGTCAACCCTTTAACTAAACAGCTGCTGAGTAAAATGTACTTTTATATCGTGATGATAGACTTTAGACTTCCCGTTTTTTAAGCATATGTTTGACAGTTCTTCCACCAGCTTCGATAGAGCAAGCAGAGGAAAAACGCAGGATTAGAATTCACAAAGCCACTTTCCAGGTATTTGCAAAATCAGTAAAAACTGTTTCTTTCTATTTGAATACCTAAGTCGTGCGAAAAAAAAGACAATTATGATAATAAAGTTGGATGCATGAAGAGGAAGGTTACGGAAGGGATCGATGTGTAAAACTGAGTCATCCATGAGGAAAAAGCAAAAAAATAATATTCCACCTCGACAAAAGCTATGTGACATAAAAACGTTCATTTTAAGAAGCTATTGCGTCAAAGACCAAAACAATTAACCAAGCAATGTAGAGGAACTTCAAGTTCTATGTCACTCGAAAATAAAATTCATATCTTCGCGCCACCGTGTATTATTATACATCACACTCACTATGAAAAATCTGATTGGTCGAGAGCATTCAATCAATTCACAATAGCTTGTGAACTTAATATGATAAATGCAATATCTGCTGCAGATATTGCATTTATCATGTCAAGTTCAACGTCTGCCTGGTTACTAAGCCCCTTGGAGTCTTCTCCTCAGAAACAGAATGGCTGAATGTCTTCTTTTGCCTATTGTTTAAAAAA